GTATGCAACAAGCGGGGTTGGTGTGGTTTTGCAAGATTTCTGGACAGAGCTGGTTTGTGGCTTTTTATTTTCCTTGGAGGGTTTTTTTTTTGGTAGCTTTGGGGGAAGGACTGAAGTTTTTTTAGCGTGGTGCCATCATCCTAGTTGGGGGGGGGAAGCAAAGGGGAAAGGCTGCTTTCGCCCTCCCCAGGCTCCCTTCCCGTGGGCTTTCTGGCTCATGCCGTCTTTCTGGAGTGCCAGCGCCCCCCCCCGCCTGCCTTTCCCTCCCTTAACGCCTCTGGGGTGTTAAGGAAGCAATTGGCGGGGCAGGGGAGGGGGAGAGAGAGAGAGAGAGACGAGGGGAGTTGGGGGGTTGCTCAAGGAGGGAGACCACCCGTTCTCCCCCATTTCAGTCCCACATCTGGTTGAAGGGGGAGGGAAGGGAGAGGGGGGGCGGGCATGGGAGCAGTTTCCTTTCCCCGAGTTGCAAGTCAGTCAGTCTGAACGGAGCCTCTTTGGGGAACATGGGGGTGGGCAAAAGCTCACGGTCCTCTTTGAGCCCAGATTCTGCTTTGAGGCCGCCTCCCTGTCTTGCCAGGTGGCCTACCTCATAGGGGTGTTAGGGTGATGGGGGTGTGTGTGTGTGTGACAGAGAGAGAGAGAGAAAAAAAATGAGATATCAGCCTGAGCTCCCTGGATTTTTGTCCAGATTTTTGGAAGAAGGAGGCCCTCCAAGAGTCATTAAGTTGTTTCTTAAAAACGACAGGATTGGCCTGTTAAAATAGACTTATTTGCAAAAGGCTGTTGTGCAAATATTGGAGGGAACAAATGGTGTTTTAACAAATGGTTACAGGGCCCTGACCCTCCTCTGGACGAGGCCGACCTCTCTCTGTCTGTGGACGGCTCCCTCTGTTTTTGTGGGGGTGGGCTGCCCTCCCTTCCCCTCCCCTCCCTTTTAAAGGGCAATTCTGGTGTCCATTCCTCTTTGAATTTCAGCAGTAATGGACCCTCCATTTGAAGACAGAGAGTCAGCTTTCCTGAGGGGGGGGGGCTGGGCACTTTGGAGGGGGTGTGTGACCCAAAGGAAGGTCCTTGCACAAACCCACCCCCATTTTTTTCTGTAGGAAAGCCTCCTTTGTAGTTCCTTTTTCATTTTGACCCAGAACTCATCCCCCCCTCTCTTTTTCTCTTTCTCATTCCAGAATCCTGACGCTGACCAACACCCCCCCCAAGAAGGATGGATTTTCAGGCCTGAAGTCAGACGTTCCTCCCAGCCCCCCCCCTTCCAAGCCATTGCTGAGCTTGTTCTTCATCCATCGCAGTGTGCTGACGCCAAGTGCCTTTCTGCGGGGTGTGCGTGTATGGGGGGGGGCTGAGATAGCCCTCAACCCCATGGAGAGAGCTTTGAAACTGTGTGTCCCCTCCCCTCACACTCCCATGCACCAAAGATGAATTTTTTCCCCTGAGGGTTGGTGCTGCTGCCAGTGGGAATGGGAGAGCCGTTTTCTGTGGATGTTTTGGCACAGAGAAGCCACGTTTTGCCTTTTGGGTCTGTGGCTGGACCCCAGGGGTGGGGTGGGGGAGCCACGTTTTGTGGCTGGCTTGGAAAAGGAGGGCCACCCTTTCCACGCCCCTTCTGTCTGGAGGCTGGTGGTGCCTCCTTCCTTCAGCTCACCCTTCCGCGTAGACGGCAGCCCCCCCACCGCCACCCCCACCCCTTGACTCAAGTGCCTGCGTCGCCCCTTTGGGTTCCTTTCCCAGCCAAGGCGGTCACCTCCCCCCACCCGTCGTCGCTGTTTGCACAGGGAGGAAGCCCCCAAAGACCCCTTTGGAAGGGGCCTGGAACCCAGGGCATGTCCTGCCTCCCCCCTCAAAAAAAATCCCCTTCTCCCCCCCTCTCCAACCCATCCCCTTCTCCCCCCCTCTCCACCCAATGCTGGGTGGAAACCCCTTCCTGCCTCTCTTTGGCTGTATTTGCTTCTCAGATAGTTGGAAATAAAGAGGTTTTGAGTACTGCGTGGAGGAAGCGTTATGTTTCGTAAGTGACCCCGAGATGGCTTTGCAGGCTATTTAAGGAGTGGTTTTGCCCTTTGCCCCCCCCCCCCCAGACGCTGTGAGTTTCTGGGGCAAATAGGGAATTCGGACCCTGTTCCTCCGGAGCCCTGGACGGTCGCTCGGTCCACTACACACACACACACACACCGCACGGGGTGTTTCGCTCCTTGTTCTTTGTTATGGCTGGCAAGCGCTGGGGAATCCTAGAAGGGCAGAATCATGCGGTCGGAAGGGGCCTAGAAAGCCATGGAGGCCAAACTCCCTCCCCCCCCCACCAGCTCAAATCAAAGGAGATCTGCCAAGGTGGTTGTCTATATTTCTCCGGCGTTGGAGCACTCGTCCTCTCCCGAGGTCATGGATTCCACCGTCGTACTGCTCTAACAGTTAGGAAGTTTTATCTGTTGCTTGAGCCCATCCTTGCATGTCCTGCACTCTGGGATGGGGAGGGTGGGGGAGGTGATTGCCCTTCATGGTTACCTGTCACCAACAGATCCTTGTTTCCCCCCCTTCTCCCCAGGACAGGATCTGTTTCCTTTTCTGTCGGATTTATATCCATGCTTCCCCCCCCCCAAAATTGAAGTCAGTTACGATGAAACCTAAGGGGGGTGGTGGTGGTGTCATCTAAACATTGAGGAGACTCTCTTGTCGGCCAAGCTGTGTCAAGGTAGAGCCACAGGTGTCAGAATTGCCTCTTCCTCACGACGGGCTCCTTCCAAACGCCGTGGGGTCTTCCTTTTGAGAAGGAAGGCTCTTTGCTGGGGTGTTTCGGCTCTGGATTTCCCCCCCCCCATTAGCAGCTGGGGTTGGACTCAATGACCTCTGGGTGCCCCTTCCATGCTCTGCCATTCTCAAGAATACAACGAGAATCAATCACACACACGCACCCCTTGAGTCCCGTTCACAGCAACGGTGTGCTGTCCTCTTGCAGCCTTTCCACACACCCCCTCCAGGCGAGCTGTCCCCTCCTTCATGTGACCGGCTGCATGACTGGTCAGGCGGCCAGCTTGGCGTGACGGGTTGCATGGAGGAGCGCCTGCCAGAGATTGGCCATAGGGGGGGTCGGTGGCTGGGAGGGGGGAGAATGCAGGCCTAATTCCTCTTTCCACAATTCTGGTCGGGTTGTCGTTTACAACAGAGCAAGAAAACAAAACACGGCCGCTACCCAATTCAAAGGGCCTCCCCTGAAAATCTGGGGGGCTAGGGAGCGTCATCATGGGGCCGGATCCAGCCCTTCAGGCTGCTCAGCCCCAATCCGTGCAGGGCTTTGCGAGTCATAACCAGTGAGGGGAAGGGGGGGTTGTCAGGGAAGCTGGTTGTGGAGCCAAAGGCTGGGAGTTCGAATCCCCAACTGGGCCTCATCCTCAGGGACTGGCCTCCCTGATCCAGAGGGTCCCTTCCAGCCTTTGCGGGTCTCAGGGGGTCAATTGTCCTTAAGGGAATCGTGGGCCACTGGCCACTTGGCCACAGCCAGCCACCAGGCTGCAGAGTTTGGGACCAACCAAAGTGTTGGAGGGGGGGTGCTCTCCTGTTTTAAAGAAGGTGGACCCGAGGACCCCCCTTCCCCCTGTGCCCTCTGCAGAGTGGCTCTCTCTGGGGCGGGCCCTATGCCAAGCGGGGAGGGGTGGGAGCAGGGCAGTTCCTGAGGGACCCCTGCCACCCCCCAAAAGAGAGGGCCGATGGGGTTCAGGAGGGAAGATGTCACCCCGGCTGCCTTTGGGGCAGGAATGGATGGGGGGGGGGAATAGCTGTGGGACCTGGAAAGATCTTCTCCCACCCCCCACCCCCACAATAAAGGTGGCTGTGTGCATTCCTGTCCTGGACAGAAACGCACCATACAACGCCCCCCCCCATGTTCCCCATCCGACCCCATGAGGAGGAGCTGGGAATGCCCTTTGTAAGGAGGGAGGGGGCACGTGGCCCCTGCCTGATAGGGGGCTGAACTGTTGCCTCAGCTCCACTTGTGGACAAGTTCCCCCCCCAAACGTGGCAAAGTTCTTCCTGTTTGGACTACAACTCCCATCTGTGTGTGTGTGTGTGTGTGTGTGTGAGAGAGAGAGAGAGGGGGGGGCGTCTGTGGGTGTGTTATTAGGATTATATTCCAGGCCAGGAATTTTTCCCAGGCTCTCTCAGAATCTGAGCCTGGGAGGATTTAAGAGGCCGGAGGCAGAAAAGGAAACACCCCGAGAAATG